CCCCCCCCCCCCCCCCCGGAACCTGCGCGCAGTCAGACCGCAGGCGGCACTTACCCTTTTTCCGGGCCTGGGCGATGACTTCCGCGGCACTCTTGCTCATCACCTTGGTGATGTACAGGGGGCAGTTGGTCTGGTTGGCTATGGTGATGGAACGGTTCACGGCTTCAGCCTCGACCTGCAGTAGAGCATCCAAGCGTGAGAACTGTACCCACACTCAGTCTGTTCCCTGAGCCCGTCTCTAACCTCCTCCCACCGGGAGAGGCCACAGTGAACCAGAGACCACTGTGTCCTCAGGGCTCTACCCTGAGTGGCACTGCAGGCGGGGGATGTGACTTGCCCAGTGTCACTCAATATTGATTGGTTGAGAGGATGGGGCAATTCCTTCCTGGCCCTTGTGGATGGTTCTAAGCGTGGTCAGCATCAGCTGGGGTCTGTAAGACATGCAGATTCTCAGGTTTCTCGGGCCCTTCCCCAGACCCACAGGATCAGTAACTCTGGGGGTGGGACCCAGAAATGTGGCCCTTATGGACCCCAGGTGATATTTACACTTGCTAATGTTTGAGAACCACCATGCTTGGAAACCAATGGCTCCCAGTTTGGTGCATTCACTCCAGGGGCATGGTCTCCAGTCAAAACATTCAGTGATGAATTTTTGAGTTGGGCTTCTGTCCCACGCCCACAAATGAAGCCAGCATCATCTAAGAAACAATGCGACCTCACAGGGCTCTGGGAATGGAGCAGGCAGATTTGTGTAAACCAAAGGCCCCTCTGTATGGGCAAACCGATCATCAGCAGCCACAGACTGGTACACCCTTCAGCACGAGATGGGAGGGCCGCTCTAACCAGAAACCTGATTCTTTAAACCTGATGCTTCAGTGAATGATGTTCCAAAGACCCCAAGGGATTACTGCTAAATAACCCCAAGGGATTACTGACCAGGTGAGACTAGCTCTTAGACTGTTATACCGTACAGGGGAATCAGCAGCGTGCGCTTGGCATGAGCAGCTGAAGGGGCAAGTGAGACGATGTAACAGAGGACCTCAGAAAGCCTTTTGCTCCCTCCCGAAACCTGGCAAAAAGGCTGGCTTCAACTCTTCCAGGCAAGGCACTGGGTCTTCCTTGGTTTTCTGCACCCCCCGGGCACTTCTCCCGGGGTAGCTCCTGGCACCCAGCACGTGCTCAAAAATGTTTACTGAGCAAATAAGTGACTTCATTTTGGGTTAATGGTTAAAGCTAGGCGGTTCCATATAGAGCTGCTACTTTTCATAAGAAATGACCAAGCTCTGGACTGAATCATCTTAGCTAACCAGTCTCTACGGCAACTCGGCCAAGAGCTGAAGTTCCGCAACTGCGCTGAGGGGTGATCTAATTTAATATACGAGGACATCCTTCGCATTTGGCCTCTTGGGCTTCAACTATGTGAAGAGAGATGTCTCGAGACGCAAAGGCAAACCAAACAGCTCTTGAAAAAGCTCATTAAACATCCAAGTGTTTTTAATTCCTGGCATAGCTGAACAATAGGCCTCCCCTCTCCTGGGCTCCAGCTGCAACACAAGGGCCTCTAGCCTAGGCAGCACAGAGGAGGGACGTCTTGCATCTCTGCGGTCACCATAAAAATCCACAGGGTGAAATGCAAACAGGACGCCACTAGAATCTGCATGGCTTCCAGGGGTGCAGGTGACTGCCCAAATTCACTGTCCCAACCCAGACTCTTCTGAAAGCGAACAGAGGCGCTATTCATAACTTCACGGGGCGACGGGTTTGGACCAGGACTGCCCCGGGTGAACCAGAAAGCACAGTCATGCTGATTAGGGAGTAAATGGAGCAGAAGTGCCAGTTCTAGGGGGCCCTACCCTGGAGCACCGGCTTCTGTGAAGACTGCTTTGGTGGGAGAATCTGGGCCCCAAGGGCCCTGTCTGGATTGGCTCATCCACTGGAAGGTGAGCTCTGAGCCCTCCCCACCCCGTAGTCGGGCAACAGGCCTGCAGTGAGGGCAGAGGCTCTAAGGTCACCGCGCGGAGAGAGAAGGTCACGTAAACCCCACGTCTCCACGTTTCACCCAGAACCATGGAAGGATCCACGTGTACCGTTCTGGTGCACATGTGTATGCCTCCGATATTAAACATAAACTGTCTCACACGCAGTGAACTCTGGCTTCAATATTATCACAACTGTATTACAGTTTAAACATAAAATTTTGTATTTGTCTCCTTACAGAGCTGTCAGGGGTTTAGGGGGTCACCTAAGCCCTGGTTTCTGATTTTAAAGATGGACCACCCCAAGGTCCAGGGAGCAAAGCAACCTGTACAGGGACGCACAGAAGCGTCAGTACACGACACTCCCCTTGCGGCCCAGGTCCCCAGCTGTCTGCATACCCCAGTCATCCCATGCTTCAAGGCCCAGTTAGGGGGCTCCCTCCTCCATCAAGAATTCTGTCACCCTAACCTCCAGTGCCCCACTCTCCCCCCAGACACCAGACTGTGTGTGTGTGTGTGTGTGTGTGTGCGTGCGTGCATGTGTGTGTGTGCGTGTGTGTGTGTTCTGTGCCACATCACACGGCTTGCGGGATCTCAGTTCCCCGACCAGGGACTGAGCCCAGGCCACAGCAGTGAAAGCCAGGAATCCTAACCACTAGGCCACGAGGGAACTCCCCAGACACCTGTCTTACAGATGTAACTGGCTCAGAACTCCACCACATGCCACGCCCCTACTTACTTTGCATCTCCCCCTTCCTCCCCAGCTTGTCTGGAATCCCTCTCAGAAGGGACCACTGCCACATCACACGGCTTGCGGGATCTCAGTTCCCCGACCAGGGACTGAGCCCAGGCCACAGCAGTGAAAGCCAGGAATCCTAACCACTAGGCCACGAGGGAACTCCCCAGACACCTGTCTTACAGATGTAACTGGCTCAGAACTCCACCACATGCCACGCCCCTACTTACTTTGCATCTCCCCCTTCCTCCCCAGCTTGTCTGGAATCCCTCTCAGAAGGGACCACTTTCTCATCCACTTCGATGTCCCCCACAGGCCTCCATCATAACACATGCTTGGGTACCACTGACGGACAGGAGGTTTCTAGACTTCCACATCCCCTATCGTCTCCCTTTCAACCTTCTCAGCTGAAAACTGGGGGAAATCCGACTGGCAGTCTGACACGGTTGGGTTGGAAAGGGCAGCAGAAAGAAGAACAGATTTTGTGTGGTTCAAGCACAAGTTAACCATCATGATGCTGGCGATGGATCATAAAACCAGGAAGGAATTACATTTTTGTATGTTCTTAACTGTTTCTTGTGCATTGGCGATATCTCCTTACCGGACTCTAAAGCTCAGTTCCCTCAGAATGCATCCATGTTTTATCCTCTTGATCTCTTACAGAGGGTTTAACACACTGTTAACAGATCCCTGGCGATGAACTAAAAAACCACCCCCAGCAGCCAAGGGAGAAGGGGGCGGCTGGCGCCTGGCAGCTCACAGGGCTGACCTAGAGGTGCACCTGCTCAGGGGAAGCACCACATGCTGTGCCCAGCCTAGAGTCGGTGCCTCTGAATCAGCTGAGAGGCAGGTGACCGTGGAAAGCAGACAGAAGAGAAAGTCCCTAAAGCAGCCTCTCGTGAGACCACAGGACCCTCCCAAGGAGCCAGAAGCTCCCCGTGTTGGAGCGTTGCCGTTCTGCCAGCCCCTAAAGGAGCCTTCCCAATCTACGGCTGGGGATTCTGAGGTTCGCAGTGCAACAGCGGCTACAAGAGAAGTCTCCCGGGCCTCAGTGTGGAAAAACAGGTTTGATGTGTGTGGTCAAAATAGCAACCAGGACCCCTCTCCTCTGACAGCTTTGGCCTGTTCAGTAAACCCAGGGCGGGCTTGCTTTCTATTTGGGGTTTGCAGGGACCTGGGGATGCAAAGCAGACGGTGGGAGAGACGGAAGCAAGCCCCCGGGAAGGCTCTGAAATGGAAACAAGCGCGCGGTTCTCACGAGGAGCCCCGGGTATCAGGAAGAGGGGCGTTTGCTTTTCTCAGAGGACAATACCCTCTTTCTCTCCCCAGATGATCCAGCCCAGCCACCGGATGAAGTGAGAGTCCACTTTCCAATGAAGCCCAGCCCCAGGTGTCACCACCTGGTTACACAGGCCCGCTGGCTTCCCACTGAGCTTGGGCTCCAGGGTGTGTGTGTGTACACACTGAGGGGTCGGGAGGGCAGGCAGGATACTGCTTGAACTTTCTAGCTCTCTGATGCTAAACTTCACACCCCCGTGATTTCTTTACACGAGACACACTTCACCACAGGATACCTCCAGGCAGCACCACACACAGGCAGCAGAATGGAATGGGTCCCCTGGATCCAGCCGTGCAATGGACTGAATGGCGCCCCCTGGAGTTGTGCGAAGGAGGCTGTGTTGTGTTGCCCTCACAGGACGCTCTAAAGCTGAAATGTGGGCTGTTACGCAGTGTCTGGCACCTCTGGGTACTCAGGAAATGCTAGCTCCCAGTGGGGCTTACAAGGAAAAGAAGGAAGAGGCATCCCTCTGCCCCTCCTGGAGACCTTGCAGCTCCAAGGCCGGATCCCCAAACTGTTTCCAGACTGAATGCAGGGCCAACCACCTCCAAGGAGGATGGGTCTGGGGACCATCATGCCTGCGCCGCCCTTCCCACTCCCACAGCTTTATCCAGGGAGATGCGGTTAAAATGATCACCAAGGCCAGCCTTGAAGGGGAAACAAAGGCACAGAAAGGAACCTTCGGAGTATCTGTGCAAGTGAGATGGTGCCTGCACGTGTGCGTGTACATGTATGTGCATGTGTGTGAATGTGCACACACATTGTGTGTTTGTGTGTATACGTGTGCATGAGTGTGCACTGCGTGTACATGTGTGCACTTGTGTGTGCGCACCCTTGTGTATAAAACCAGCCTCAGGTATTTTCAGCGTCGGCTACTGGGACTGTCTGCCTCTCACGTGACCTGCATCCCCAAGTCACTGTTCTCCAGCCACGCTCACAGCCTGGGGCTCCCCGCAGCCAATAACACAGGGGCCTGAAGAGCTCACTTCAGCCTCCTGCACCTTCGCACCAGCCCCAGTTCAGCTTTTCCGTGCGCGTGGGAAGGCTGGTGATTGTGAAAGGACCTGCATCCCAGGGCCTGGAGAGGGACCACACAATAGTGAAAATGTAATAGCTTCCATCCTTTCATCTGAGAGAAATGAGCCCAGGGCCTCAGATGGTAATGAAGGTGCCCTGGTGTGCATGTGTATGTGTGTGACTGTGTCTGTGACTCTGTGTATGTATCTGTGTGCCTCTGTGTGTGTGTACCGGTAACATGCATGTCTCTGTGTGTGTGTCTCTGTGTGTCTGTGACTCTGTGTATGTATCTGTGTGCCTCTGTGTGTATGTCTGTGTGTGTATCTGTAACATGCATGTCTCTGTGTGTGTGTGTCTCTGTGTGTCTGTGGTGACTCTGTGTATCTGTGTGCCTCTCTGTGTATGTCTGTGTGTGTATCTGTAACGTGCATGTCTCTGTGTGTGTCTCTGTGTGTCTGTGACTCTGTGTGTGTATCTGTGTGCCTCTGTGTGTATGTCTGTGTGTGTGTACCTGTAACGTGCATGTCTCTGTGTGTGTGTCTGTGACTCTGTGTGAGTATCTGTGCATATGTCTGTGTCTGTGACTCTGTGTGTGTATCTGTGTGTGTGTCTATGTGCTCACATGCAGTAAAAGGGCAGAACAAGGAACTGCAAGCCCTCAGTGTGTGCAAGGCATTCTAAGTGGCTTCTACCTTTGCCTTTTTCTGCCTCTTTCCTACATTCTTTCTCCTTTCCAGACTCACCCTCCCTCCCCCAAAGCCTAGGGAAAAGGCTGGGGAGATGAGACAACTCACCTGACCCAGGCAGCCCACTGATGGCGCCTTCAATGCCACACCCTCAGAATCCATTTTCTGCTGGGGGGAGCAGAGTCCACGGGTCCTAACGTGACCCCTTCCCAGACTCAGAGGGGACGTCCTGGCCCTAAAGTTCTGCGATTTGGGGGCCCTGGTCCCATCCGTACCCCTCTCACCCAGCATCTCCCTCCACCTGTTTCCAGGAGGAAAAATCCTAATTTTAAGTCACCATCCACTCCAGTGATGATTTTATCTGCCCTCTCTGCCTGTCTCTTTTCCTGGAAGGACAAAAATCTATTCATTTCCATGAGACCCCCAGCATCCTCTGCTCAGAGCTGCCAAGTCCTCCAACGCCTGACCTTGAGCCTTTCATTAAAGAGCCAACTCCTGAAAAGCATTCAGAGGCCACAGATTCTAATTTAGAAAAACAGGTTCTCTGTCACATAAGATGTGAGCACCCCCTTCTCACTCACAAGCCTCGCCACCCAGGACAGTGACTCTCAACGTCGGGGCCAGCAAGAACCCTGCTCTGAATTTTCCCTCCTCGATTTTGAAAGATTCTGTCTACCACACTCTGCTGATTATGTTATACCCTGTGCAGACTTATCATGGAAAAACTTACAGTCCCGCTTCTGCTTTCTAGACACTTAGAAGAGCTTTTATGGTAAGATTCTGGAGGCCCTGGCTTATGAACCACAAAACCCCAACTGCTGGATGCTAATAAAAAGCTGTTTGTGTCTGTCTACCCAAGAAAGGGCTTGAAGAATTAGAGACAGAAAGAGGAGTCTTTAGGCTAAACAAGCCATACTGCTTTACCCCACAGCACAGTCTAACCCTTCACTTTGCCTGTGTAGACACTTCTCAGTGGGTGATGTGACTTCTCAGAGGGACCAAAATCAGCACCCGAGAAGCCCAATTCTCAACAGGCAGGAAGTCGGCTCTCTGTGGCTCTGGTGGCGCCCGCTCCAGAACACGGATTCATGCATTCCATTCAACAGACGCTCACCTCCTCGGGCCGGCTCAGCACATGTCCCTCAGGGCCCGTGATGCCCAGATCCAGGATCCTCTGCTGCTCCTGCAATGTTTAAAGAAAAGCAGACTTTCAGGGAGAGCTGGACCCCAGATGGCTCTGACTGCTGAGACGTGAGTAAAAATTACTCGGGCAAGACCTCAAAATGGCACGCTGGGGCTTCCCTGGTGGCGCAGTGGTTGGGAGTCCACCTGCCGATGCAGGGGACGCGGGTTCGTGCCCCGGTCCGGGAAGATCCCACGTGCCGCGGAGCGGCTGGACCCGTGAGCCATGGCCACTGAGCCTGCGCGTCCAGAGCCTGTGCTCCACAACGGGAGAGGCCACAGCAGTGAGGGGCCCGCGTACCGCAAAAAAAATGGCACGCTGACCACTCAGCCCTCATCCCAAGACCCCACGAAGAAAGGGCACGGTACCCGGCTTCCACTGCTGCCCGAGCTATGACAGATCAGTTACAGCCTCCCAAATATGTGCAAGCTGTCCCCTGGGATGCCGAAAGCCAATGTGTCCCCAGCCCTGGGCTACAGTGTAAAATATCTATACGTGGACATCCACAGGCAGCCGCGTCACAGTGCTGAGAGGAAGGACCTCTCTGCGGAAAGGCTACACGTCCTACAGAAACGCCGAGCGGCACGTGCCTCCCCAACATTCGCGCTGTGAGGCTGTTTGTACAGTCCCACTGGGTCACTCCGCTTTTCCCCACCGGAGCTGAGCTACAGAAGCTGCTCCACTCTCGAGCATGCCTCTCACCCTGTGGGTCACGTGGAGGTGATGAAGAGAAAGCACATACCTCTGCAATGATGTCGCCGTTTTCCGCGTGGACTTGAGCAATCGCTCCAATGTCCCGGATCACGCTCAGGACTTCATAGATCTGAGAGAGGGAGGGGGTGGGATCAGAGACGGGGACCTCTGTCTTCCTGGTCACAAGTACGACACCTCCATGACAGCCACAGGGACCAGCACAGGGACCCCTCGCTGCTTCTATTAAGGCCGGCTTTTCTGACACGCCCAAGGGCAGTGGTAATTAATTAACAGAGGCAGGGTAACCTAAAAGGGCTTGAGTTAGGAGGAGCTCTTGGGTGACACCTTCTCTGCACCAGGTTTGCTGAAGAGGGTCGGGGAACACCTCTCCGCCAGACTGGCCACGGCAGGTGGCTGATTCCAGAGCTTGGTGGCACACCTGTCCTGGGGGACCAGGGCACTGGGTTCGTACCTCCCTAAAGGGAGTTACACCAGGGGCTTCATCCACCAGCCATTTCCCATGAGCACTCACTGGAGGCAGCTTTCAAGACAACAGCAGTGGTCCGAACATACCGAATGCCAGTGAGCAGGCTTTTCTTACCTGGGAATCCGTTAGCTGGAAGCGATCTTTGAAAGCCATGTACACGAGGAAGGAATTTACCCCTAGTGGACAGACAAAACAGAGAGGTGGAGACGTGATAAACAGATAAACCAATAATCTGGAAGGGAATAAGGAAGTAATAATATTATGCATATTTATGCAGAGAGACAGAAAGTCAGAGAGAGAAAGAGGGAGAGACAAAGAGAGACAGAGATGAAGACAGAGAGAGAACGATAAAGTGAATGTGGTAAAATATGAACAACTGGCGAATCTGGCAACAGGGTGCATAAGGATTCTTTATAGTATTTTTACAATTTTCTCTAAAGTTAAAACTGTATCAAAATTTTAAATTGCCCGTATTTGTACACCCATGTTCATAGCAGCATTACTCACAATAGCCAAAAGGTGGAAGCAAAATGTGTCTGTGGATGAATGGATAAACAAAATGTGGTCCAGCCACACAATGGGATATTATCCAGCCTTAAAAAGGAAGGGAATTCTGACACAGGCTACAATATGGAGATGAGCCTCGAGGACATTCTGCTAAGGGGAATACGCCAGTCACAAAAGGACAAATACTGTAGGATTCCACCTATAGGCCAAATTCATAGACACAGAAAGTAGAATGGGGGTTGCCAGGGGCTGGGAGGAGGGAGAAGGGGAAGTTATTGTCTAATGGGTACAGAGTTGCATTTTGGAACGATGAAAAAAGGTCTGCAGATGGATGGTGGTGATGGCTGCACAACAATGTGAATGTCCTTAATGTCACTGAACTGCACACTTAAAAATGATTAAGATGGTAAAGTGTACACTATGTTGTATTTTACCACAATTAAAAGTGAAAAGTTAAAAATAAAAGTTCCTAACTGTTGTGACTTTAGCAAGAAGATGAATTAGAAGACCCTGCAGATGAAGATCTATAATAAATGTCGTTTCTCTGGTAAACCAATTGCCTTCCAGGCCAATTTTTAAGAAAAGTTTTTTAACAAGAAAAGGGCTGTGAGTGTGACAAGCAGATGTCACAGTTCTCACCCTGGCATTTTAGAGTTCTTGCTTCCGGAGGCACCAGACCAAACATCCCTGCTCAACATTCATCACAATGGTAAACAACTGTACTGACAACCTGCTAGCCTTGGAGCTTAATTCAAGTTGTCGGGAGTGCTGGAAGCTGCCTGGGTTCAGTGCCTCAGGACATCCCTGCCCTTGTCCCCCACTAGGCAACAGTTGCTATGGAAACCCTCCAGGTTGATGTGGAGTAAATTTATTACAAGTATTGAATCCATTTGAGTGTCAGTACTCTCAAAAGTGAGAAAGGTCAAGGGTTACCTAGTTGCATTCACATGGGACCTTCATGCTGCAATGAATCTTAAGGTATCTAACCCAATAGCCTCATGTGAGATTTTTTTTCCTAATTGAGACTCATAAAATTTAAGTGATTTGCCCAAGGTCATACTAGCTAGCTTCTGGAAGAGCAGAGATAAACCCAAGACTCCAGATTTTTATTCTAGGCTTTTTCTACCAAATCTATGGATAGCTACCAGATCCATGCCTAGATTTTACTTATAGCTCATGGCATTTCTGAGCCTAGCAGTCCCAGAACCCTAAAGCATAGATGCTTCCTTGACGATTAGGATCCAAAGAGGTCAACATGTGACCCCACGTGACCTCCAGCCTATAGCCAAGGTCAAGGAGACGCCCAAAGATGATGTGGTCTGGTAACACCACCCAAACCCCCAAGGTTCCTGTGGACAAGAGGGTTCCGGAGGCACCTTGAGGTGCTTAAGATTTCCCCCAGCCTCCCTGGGAATCTTTTAGAACCCAGTCCTTAGAATCTTCCTCCCCAAAATAGTCCTATGGACAAAGACAGAGCCCACAGGTGGTCCCAGAGCCTCATCACCCTCAAATCTACCCTGATTCTTCTGGGTCTGCAGGAAGAGACTGCTCAAGCCCTGTACTCAGGGTCCCGGGCTCTCTCCTAAGACTGCCCGGAATCCTCCCTGGGATATCCATGTTATCCTTTGAGGGCAAATCACTCTCACAGCCTCAACTCTCCAGCCTGGATGGCGCACACAGCTCTCTCACACCAGTAAGCTATGACTAGCTGTCTGGCCACCTGCTATGAGCACGAGCTGCAGCCTAAGCCCTCCCTCCTGGCAGGCACGTGGGTGTAGAAGGCATCAATCAGCACTCTTCCCAGAAGCCCTCCTTCAGGGCTCAGCCAGCTCGTGGGCTGAGAAGAAAATATCCCCAGAAGGCGCTGGGGCAGCACAGCCTACCGTGGTCCTTCACCAGGGTCTCCATCTCCTCCTGGATGCCCTTGTGCCACTCGGTGATGTCCACGTGCAGAGAGTAGTCGCAGCAGGACTTGCTGTCGGCCCATTCCCTCCACTGGTCGAAGGCAGCCAGCAGGCTGGTCCCAGGCTCGGGAACCACATGGTCAACTAGAAAGGAACAGACATGCGTCGTCACCAACAGGAGCTTCAAGGGTTGCGGGCCAGCAGCTGTTTCCCCATTTCGACCCTGAACAAGGCCTTCTTGGGTTCAAAATTGAGATGGCGATCTCTACAACCAGATTCTAAGAATCCACTTAAGCCAGCTGACTACCCCAGAAGGAGAAAGCAGAAACTTGGCAGGGCACGACTCCTCCAGTGAAACCACGCACGACCTGCCCTGATCTGATTTCCCAGCTCAAAACCGCTGAAAGCACAGAGCTCGGGCACATTTCAAGGACAATGAGTCCTTACGGACAATGGCAGTGTCAGATGGCTGGCCAGAGCCGGCAAGCCCTTCCTTGTGTTGATAGCTGGCTCGTGAGACGCCCCCTACCAGACGGCAAGGAACTTGAGGATGCTGGACCGGAGCCATGCAGACTGGGCCTTTTAGAAGTTCCCCGGCATATCCACTCTCTCATCACCACTCGGATTTCTGCGGCATAATACCACTTTGTAATTTAAGGGAGATCTTTCATCCTACGAGTTCAAAGCATTTTAAAACTGCGGTTATTGTTATATTATTATTGAGGTAGGCTGATACGGAGGACAGAGGCCTCTGGAGTCAGGCTCACCTGAGTCTCTTTCTTGCCTCCACCCCCCACCAGCAAGGTGAGCTACTTAATCTCCACTACCCTGAATTTCTGTGCTGGTTTAAAATAGCGATATTACGTACCTCATACATTTGTTATGAGAACTCAATGAGACGGCATGTCAACCTTGTGTCACTCCCCAATTTAAATCCTCCAACGGCTTCCCCTTACACTTCAGATAAAAATTAAAGTTCCCAACAAGGTCCTCAAGATCTTGGCTTGGCCCCTGCCTACCTCTACAAATCACCCTGGACCACCTACCCCTTGCACTCTGATCTCCAAACACACAGGCCATCTTTCAGCCTCCTCCCTTCTGCCACACGGCCTTTGCACATGTTGTCTCTCCTAGGTCCTGAAGAGCTCTTGCCCAGTTACCATGATTATTATTACTCATCTTCTGCACAGAGACACTGAAATACAAACTGAAATGACGTGTCCAAGGTTGAATCAAACTTACGTAACCAAGAAGACAAAACCCAGGACTCTTGATGCCTAAAGCAATGAATCATTCCTCTAAATATTAGATTTTCTACACCCAGGTAAGCTGTTCTCAGCTAAGAAAATGCCAGCCCAGGCAGTGCTAGTGAGCTCAGATTTCTGAAGTGGATCAAATCTTGCAGACGCTGCTCAATTGTAATCAACCGAGCTTGGCTTCACATGCTTGAAAATACGGACATCTAGGCTGAATTTTCTTTTGACAAAATTTACTTTTTATAAGTAGTAGCATATGTAATTAAGTGGGTAAATACATTGCTGGTATTGTAATACATATAACATATAATGTTACCTAACAAAAGCAATGAGGATATACACTTCTAATACAAGTCTGTTCCGTCTGTAAAATACTAACATAGAAACTCTGACAAAGTGATTTCAAGTTTTCTTCTTAAATTGTGTCCCCCTGCCCCTGGCAAAAAGAAAAAAAAAGAAAAGAAAAAGAAAAAAAAGGACGAAAACCTGACGTTGTAGCAATCACAGTTTGGGCAGTATCTCCCTAGTCACGCCCCTGGCTTCATCACCTGCCCTCCTCCAAAAAGCCTTTGGTAGCTGTCCACCATCTCTAGAGTGAAATTCTAACTCCTTTTCTTGGTCCTGAAGACCGGTCCCTGCTCATCTCTCCAACATAATCTCCACCACCTACCCCCTGCTCACCACCTTCAGGCCACCCCAGCCTTGCTTCACTCTTTGACCTGCCCGACTCCCCGACCTCCAGGCCTTTGCACAAGCAGTGCTTTTTCCTTGGGCATCTCGTTTTCCTCCCTCTGATTGGGTTAAATGTCACCATCCCAGGGTCGCACCCCCATGTGCAGTAGTTTCTGCATCGTTTCCGCACTTTACTCTCTGATTCTCCCCCTCCCATCCCCGGTCGCTGGGATGTAAACTCCCTCAGAGCAGGGGGTAGGTGCCTAGACGTAGGAAGTGCTCAATACCTATTTTCAACAAATGAATGAATGCTCCCTTCCAGCTCCCACGCCACCCTGCAAGATCAGGACATGCCCTCCTGGGAACACAATCAGATTTTCCTGCTCAATTCCAAGCATAGGTAAGATCATCGGGTGCTATGCTCCTTGAAGTTCAGGGTGTATAAAAATTATCTTGAGAGCTTATTAAAACCCAGGTTCCTGGACGTCACCCCCAGACTTTCGGATTCTGTAGGTCTGGGCTGGGACCTGAGAATCTGAACTTTTACTAAGCTCCCTGGGAGCTTCCACTCTGAGCATCAGTAACTGAGGGCAAATCTTTTCGCACTGATTTCTTCTGCCAAACCGCCATTCACTCATGCCCACTTTACCATCAGGGTCCTGTTTACCACACAACAGCATTATCACTGACCAAAAATATCTGGTTCTCTCCATATCCAAAAGCAGCTCCTAGAGTTATGAACCCTTGAAAACTCAGGACACAGGCAGAGTTGAGGGCTTCAGGGAAATAAACACATTTCCTCCAAGAGCTAATGACACTCAGAAACGTGTCCACGAAAAGCCTCCACGTGTTTTCCCACAGTTCTCTTTAAATAGAACCTCTCCTGGGAAGAGCTGCTCCAGGGAACAGGGCAGAGCGTCGTACTCATTTCCGGAGGGAGCAGAGATTCTCCTCTGAGGACAGAGCCTGGAAATGACTTGCATGGAACTCACAGGCCTTTTCCCTGATGACTTTCCTAAGCCATCTGTCCCTACGAGAGCCTGGCTTCTGCCTGACAGTTGACTTCTCTCCGCTCTTGTAAGACGTGAGGGACAGCTCATCAACCCAGCCTGGCATCAGACCAGGAAAGGATGGCCTTTGGGGTTGGTGAACCCCAAGTTCTGATTCTGACTCCTGCTGCTTCACCCCCCTGCTGTGTATATTCCTTGGGACCCCCCCCTCTCTTCACATATAAAACGTGGGCATGAAACAACTACCGTTGAGTGCAGGGCTGTAAGAGGTTCAAGAAAGCGTGTGAAAGCACCTGGCAAAACATCTGGCACACGCTGAGTCTTCATTCCCTTGGGATGAGCCATCGGAAACACCACTGTGGTTTCAGGAGGAGGCCTGTGAACCTGGTTTATGAGACAGCCAAGAAGATGCCCCAAGACAGCGGCCTGAACTGAGGGGTTCCAACCAGCGTTGGGAAGTGCTTGCATTTAGAAGACACCAGCTCTTTCCAAAGGACTGTTATTACTTCTCTTAAAACTGTCAAAGGACCCTACTTTTTTTAACAGCTTTACTGAGATATAATTCACATACCAGCCTATTCACTCATTTAAACTGTTCAATTTTTAGTCTTGTCACAGAGTTATGCAGCCATCACCACAATCTAATTGTAGAACATCGCCCAAAAGAGAAACCCCATAGCCAACAACTGCCCCTCCCCACACCCTCCCATCTCTGCTACTCCCAGCCCAAAGCAACCGCTAATTTGCTATCTGTCTCTACGGATTTGTGTCTGGCTTCTTTCACTTAGCATAGTGTTTTCAAGGTTCGTCCACCGTCTCATGTATCAGCACTTCATTCCTTTTTATTGCCTTGAGTCGTTTTGGTACCCTGTTGTTATGTTTATTGGATATCGGCAAAGTGTTAACACCACGTAAATATGCTGCTCCTGGAAAATTCAAATCTAGGACCTCTTTGGAGTTTGCAGTATTTAAAAGGCCCTATTTTTTAAACTTCTTATAGTAATTGTAGATTCACATGCGGTTGTAAGAAACGATACAGACAGATGCTCAGACCCTCCACCCAGTGACACCCCCCAGCTAGGGGTGATGTCTTGCTAACCTGAGTACAACATCACACCTAGAAAGCCAGCCCTGACATAATCCAAGACCCCAGATTTTTTAAAAGCCAGCGGTTAGTGTTTCTGATCAATTTGCACGGGGCCCTTCGTACTCAGAACTCATAGAGATGCTAGAAAATCACCACCGCAGTCCCGGTTCTGGAATTGAGGTGGGTGAACAAGAACAACATTCCAGGTCTGCTGGGGGGAGAAGCAGGTAAAACAGGAGAAAGATGCGGGGGTGGTCAGCCCTGCCAGGTCCCCGCTCGGGCCCTCCCCCTGCCTCTCCGAAGCCTAACACACAGATCCCTGTAGGGGCAGGTCTAGAATCTCCTGCAGTCGGTACACACATCACCGGCGCTCCCTGGGGCCGCTCTTGAAACTATCAGAACTGCCCATCACCAGCCTCCCCTTCCAGAATCAGCACTGCCTCATTCTCCAGGCCCCGCACTTAACTGTGTGTGCGCTCGCGCGCGTTGGCCTCACCCATTTCCATCTTAGATAAATTAATGGACTTGAATTAAAAGCAAACCATCAGGGAGATAACAACACAAACCACCCGCTGCGTTTCGGGGCTGGCGTCTACTCAGCGAAATGCCAGGTGACCTAGTCAGCAGGGAATGGCTTTTGTTGGTAGAGAGATAAGAGCCTTTGGGGAGCCCGGCCTGACAGTTTTGTTCTGAAAAAAGGCAGAAAGGGAAGAGAAAGCACCTGTACCTGGGGATAGGAGAGGGACACATAGGAGACGTAGTGCCTGAGCTCCTGACCAGTCCTGCCACCTCCTCAGCATGTGACTGTGGGCAAGATATTCAGCCTCCATGGACTTGAGATTCCTCATCTGTAAAATGGGGTTAATACTTGTACCTAAGCCACAGAGTTCTAGTGAGGTGTAAATGAGTCAATATGGGAACTACCCTGAAGAGTGCCTGCTACAGGAACACGCTGAAAAAGACCAGCAGGTAGACAAAGTCACATCCCTTCATAAGGAAAACTCCCACATGAATCCCTTTGTGAAGGTATTAAGATGCCTCTAAAGCACATGCTTCCGGGGCTATAACTACTCGCCTTGCACAAACATACTCCTTCTCCCACAAAGCAAGGAAGCATTT